TCTAACAAAAAGAGATTAAGTTATTATGTTTTACATTAATGCTCCATTGTTACTTTGAATTTCTTTCCCTTCTCTCTCTCTGTCTCCCCTCCCGTGCCTGTGTCTTCTCCAGTCTCCGTCTCTTTTGTCCCCTCTGTTTCGCTTCTTGCCCCTGTTTCTTCCCCATCATCACTGTCCTTTATTTCTCCTCTCTCCCTCCTTCCTTCTTCTATTAGTTCCAGCTGTCCTAATTTACAATCTCATAAAGCCTTTAATTTACACTTACATTATGTTTACTTTTAAGAGCTGGCCGAAACTGTTCCAAGTCTTTTAAGTTAATTAGTGTGAAATTAAAGTACAAGTAATTCAACTATTATTAATTTAATTATCTATGGGCCTTCCTTCTTTCTTCTTGCCTAATGTTTGTAAAAAAACTAACCAAAATACAATGCAAAGTTACTTTTTAATACAATGGTCCTTCTTACATCTGCTTGACAGCAAAATATATTAGATTGCAATCATAAAAGAAAACTTACTTAGGCCGTTTGATTCAATTAAAAACAATGTCATTTTCAATGTCAATTTCACCTTTCAATCTTACCATTCTCCTTTGTACTGTCTCCTCTCTCCTCTTTGTCTCTGTCTTTTTTGTTTCTTTCCCCTTTCTCCTCTGTCCTCTCTCTGCCTCCTTTCTTCTCTTTCTCCCTGACTTCTTTTTCTGCTATAAATACAGTTTTTTTTGCTTTTTAATGTACAACACAAACATACAAACAACTTACCAAGTTTATCTACCAAAAAAGGCATTATACTTATCACTATAGGGTTACACATTCCCAATTTACCATCTGATAGATGGACCTCAATGAGGACATCCTCTATTGCGGCAGCCATTACTTTTTGATTTTGAACTTACAGTTTCAGGTGTCCTATTTTATATCCTAAAGGTCACAGTTGACACTTGGTGTTCTTTGATTGGCTGTGTATGACGCAATGACTTCTACTTCGGTATTCCTCTCCCACACATTTTTATTATCATTCCTCTCACCTGTAAAGATAAACACATATCAACTGCATGATAACTTCGAGACTAACTTTCTTTCAGCCTTCGCTTTTGAGTTAGTAAGTTTTAAACAAAAATGAGTGTTAGTGTTTATGTTGACGTCTCACGCACACACTAGTTTCACACCTTTGTTTTCAAACAGGGAATCCATAGTTTGTATGCCTTAGCATTACAAACGAGTTCCTCTCCTTTAGGGGATCAATAGTTTGAATATTTAGCATTCAAACTAGTTTCACTCCTGTTTCAGGGGATCAATAGTTTGAATGTTTGGCATTCAAACTAGTTCCACTCCTGTTTCAGGGGATCAATAGTCTGTTTGTTGTAGACAAAATAGTTCCTCTTCTGTTGAAAGGGGATCAATAGTATGTGCATTACACAAACTCATTTCTGTTATTCATTTACTGATTACATGGACAAGTTCTTCTATTATGACCAAATTGACCACAATTACCACATTTTCATTGTGTTGCAGGTGGTTCTAGAGATTGCCTGGGAGATTGTGGTACTTCGATCTCCATTGCAAGGTCTGGTGGATTATCTACACCAGGAGTTGATTGTCGACATGATCCTGTTGGTTGAGGTGCATCAGGAAGTGGGCAGGTTACATCTTTACATTCATATCTGCAAAACGATCTTATCTTTTCGTAAAGGTACCATTTCCGTTCAGTTGACATACCCTTTGGTGGTAATATATTAGGTAGTTCATCTTCCATTATTTGAGCGTCCTCCTTAAGCAAATTGAATTGTGACTGGGCCATCTACAGCTTGTCTGGCTGCAATTACACCAGGTGAGGTCGCATTTACAACAAAGTGTTGAAAGCCTTTGATGCCTTTCATTTTCTTGAATAATGTAGCAAAGTAACTACACCAGTCAAGTGTTTCTACAATGAGTTCACCATTGCTACTTCCTACTGGTTGGGCTTTGTTCACAGCAGATGATTGTTCTACAACTTGAATGAAGTCATCCAATGAGTCCACCTCTGCTTTACGGAATTTTTGCTTTAATAATCCTAAGCACCAGTCTGGAGAAAATTTTGTGTGTCCAACTGGCAGAAAGGATATTGAAATGGACGCATTGAGTCCTGTCATGACTCTCCATAAGAGGAACTAAAATAAATAAAGTATTACATTTAAAATGTTCATTATTGTGCATGTAATATACTTACTTGAATAACTGTATTATTTTTATTTTGCCCTGTGCAGTTGTCAGCATTGAAATGGATACTGACTGAGTTGAGGCCATGATTCTTCAAATAAAAATGTGCCATGCTTATGACAGGATTTGCCCCTTTACCAGTGTCGAATGATTCATCGATCAAGAAATTAACCTGCTGAGGGATAGCTTCACAGCACACACCAAATATGCCACATTTCCTGGGAGTAAGACAATAAATTGGACTTGCTTGTAGTGGACTTGAAGGATAGTGAACCCTTAAAAAATTAAGTAAGCTAGATACACTTTCATAATTATCATAAAATGTTACCTGTTGAGCATAATCGAAGCTATATTGTGGTACAATATTTAACATAGCAAGTGGCCTTGTTAGTGGGGGATTGTATTTGTTTGCTGCATCAGTATACAGCCTTTTTAACAATAATTGTGCCTCTTTTAATACATCCTTTTAGTACTCCCGTTCCTTTTTAACATGACTTCTGTGATCTAGTGCCTTTTGCATTGCCTGAAAAATCTAAATAATACTTGTGTTATTACAATACTGACTTACCTCAGTTATCCTTTCATCTGACTGCATGTTAGCACTTCTTATAATCAGTCCACTTATTTCTTTACAAGTGGCACACAAGTCAGACATAGGCTTCATTTTTTCAATATAAGGCAGGTAGCGTCGCCCAACATGTTGAATGTTGTTTCAGCACATGCTTTGACATAAAGCCCTTCACATGATTAAGTATACCTGCCTTTTAGATGTACTGCATGGTAAGAACTTCTTATTCTCGTAACTCATCATTCCAGGTATTCTTCCAGGAAGACTGATTCCATGGACTTTAGCATAATTTCTGATGAAAGCAACTACCCAGAGAATATCATCATAAGTCAAAGCATGGTTTGGTGTCTTTCCAGCATTTCCGTGAACTCTAATAAATTTAAGGACATAACATTTAATTTGTAAGTCTCATACCTTGGTATTAATCCATTCATTCTGTACTTTTTCATGATTTCCTCAAACCTGCTTTTGCCACATGCATGTAGCTTCAGAAATGTTACTCTACATATCTAGTTGAAAAACAATTAATTTTGTGTTGTGTCACTCATAGTTACAAACCTTATGACCTTGATGCATAATTGTAAAAATTGCCTCTTTCTCTCTTTCTGTCTCCTACGGTTGCCAGTCGACAATCCCCCCATGGTAGATGTTGCTGCCATTTGACTCAATAGCAATTTCGTGAACAGGCTTTGCCATGGCTTGTATGTCACATCTATATGTTTTTATGTAAGAGTGACTGAACAGTGCATAGCAATTATCTGAGCAACCACATCCATGTTCAAAGAACTTTGATAAATCTTCCTCCTGTAGGTCTTCCTTCCTCATGTCATCACAAAAGTGAGTAGTTGAAGTAGCTGGAGCATCAGGCGTCGCTGATTCTAAATCAAGATCTGATACTTGTAGCTCCACAGCCACCTCAGGATCAAACAGTGGTGGATTAATATCTTTATCTCAATCTTTTGTCTCTATCTCTTCTTCTTTCCCTTCCTCTACCTCTTCTTCCATATCTTTTACTGCTTCATAGTCTGTCTCTATCAATTAAGAAATACACTGTATAACTAAGTTTAGTATAATAATATTGTGCATTTATACAGGTGATGGAATGTCATTGTTGTGATAGCTAACCGCTATTTACAGTTAGTATGTAAACAGTGTTATGAATAAGCTTACCACTAGTTTCATCACCAAAGTAGTCCCCAAGAACTGAAGCAATGTAGTCACTGTCTCGAGGACCTATTTCTTCATTTAACAAGCAAGCAATGTCTCTCTCTGTAGCTATAGTTTTAAAAGTAGTCTTTTTTCTCTTTGTAATACTTTAAATAATTGCTATAGAGACTCCATAGTTACCTAATGACGCATTAAAGCCCTCCGTTTTTATTCCGTGGTCGCTCTGTGTAACATTCTCCGTGCACAATCAAGGTAAAAATGTCGAAGGGCTTATAACTCGGCAAAGAAGGCTTCGCTACCCCTGATTTTGGTATCAAATAAAAGGATTTTGTTTATATAACATGTTTATGTGATAAAATGAATTTCACACAGGTACAGATTTTTTGTGATTATGAGCCCAATAGCTCATAATGATAATTCCTGCAGATAGCTTGGTTTTCTCATATCGGGTCACATATACTGTTTTTTGCATTAAGACCTTGAAATGAAATGTCATAATACTACTTGATATACACATGTAACTGACTGTCTCATTCTCAATTGTTCCCTTGTGGCTTTCCTGGTGAAAAACTTTCATTCTTAAAAATGCTGACAGGTAGTGCAATTTAACTCTGTACATGAGGAAGGCTGCAATGTGTTCTGTAGCTTCAAATGAATTTTCCACGATGAGTTGTTACTTATTTGCACTGAATGGAAATGTTGGTGATTTCTGTCTATATTTTCAGTTTTTACTAGACTGTCTTTTATGGTGCAACCCTTCATGTTATTGACCTAGTTGGTGCTTCTTAATATCACATTAATTTTGTTTTGAGGCTGTGATGATTTGGACAAATGCATTTAAAGATCGGCTTTGATTGTGGAAGGTTGACTAGTGTTGTCCTTGAGTAGCATTTAAGTACTTCCCACTAGTTTTGTAGTGGCCTCTTCATGAAAATAGCAGGACATTTCCTTTTTTTCAAGCGTTCTATAAGCTTATGTCTATATTGTCTCTCTGATGAATTGGTACTATCATGTTTTGACAAATTTAAACCCTTTAAAGACTGTTATTAAATGACTTAAGTCAAAATGGACGTATTGGAAAACACTGTTCTTTTTTGGTAGGTTGAAAATATTGTACTGTTGCTTTCCTTGTCAAGATTTATTGTCAGATCTAGGAATTTAAATCAATCATTTGAGTATCTGGCTTCATTTTGATATTTAGATCATGGTTAAACGTTTCTATACACTAATCTAGGTTCACATTTCTTAGCAACATCATTACTATGTCATGTATGTAGCGTTTTAGATACAATGGTCTTTTACTGTTACAGAACTGTTTTCAGAAGCACCCAAATGCAAATGTTTCCCACCGATGGAGAAAATGCAGCCCCCATTGCTGTAATTTGGGTTTGGAGGAAACAGAAATTTGTAAATTCAAAAAATAACTATTATGTTAGCTATTAGCGATTTTTCAGTATAATTAAGTCTCTGAATGTAAACATTTCTTTGTGGATTTTATCCAGTTATTCCCACTGTGAAATTGAAGGGTATAGATTGACTACATCTAAGCAACTAGTGTGACCAGCTCTGTAAAGTCATGCCTTCTAATTTCAGTGTTCAATAAGTAGAATTTCTGAGATATTTATTTTGTGTAACGGCTGAAGTTCATGAGCAATAAATTGTACTTTTCATGTAGCACTAAAAAATAATGAGAGAATTGGTCGAATGGGTGGAATACCATTCTTACTTAGTGGCTTGTGTATTTATGGTAGTCCATAAATTTGAGAAATGACATGGTGATATTCTAGTTGAAGAAAACTGCATAAAATTTTTATGGTAATAAATGATGCCCAAATTGTCAAAGTATGTTGACTTTTTCAATTTGTCTGCTAAGTTTGCTACGACATGTGCCCAAGACACATATCAATGTAATCTACTGTGTTGAGTATACAATTAATCCATTTTTGTTTACTGGTTTTAATGAGTTTCTTAAACGCTAATAATAAAATGTATAATGTTCTTTGATGTACATGAGAATTGATGTCTGATTCTAAATTGTTTAGTTCTACTGATAAAGATATTTGATGTATCAAAGTACTAGTATATTGCGCATCTAGTCTCACATAGCCGGACTGTATTTTGCCAAATAAGAGTCTGGTGTCATGCCTAATATCAACTCATGTTTGCAACATTTGTTATATCATTTTGTCAATCAACATTGAAAGCCAAGCGGTAATGGAAGCCAAATCAGCAGAGGCTGCAGTGTTTAGTGTGGCAGCTACTTTGCGATACCTATTAAAAGATAAGCATTTGGAAGCTATGACACAATCTATGTCTAGAAAAGATACATTTCTTGCTTTGTCAACTGGCTTGATAAAAGTATCAGTTATGGTTTATCGCCTAAAGATATTGATTCTGAGACCCGGGATACGTGCAGGTCATGCTATTGCTATAATAGTCAGTATACTGAAGGCTCTTGTGAAAGCCCGGACCTCATATTTTAGAGATATTGGAATCATTGCTGCTTTTGGAAATATCTCCATGGATAGTATCATTAGAGGGGAATTTTAGCTCATTTTTCTAAGTCATGAGTGTCTGAATAGAGGAAGAGGATGGAAAGAAATACTGAGAGGTAATGTCTACCAAGAGAAAGTAATTGCTTTTGTGGTGGATGAGGCACACATAACTAAGAATTGGAAAGTAAGTATAATTTCATGCATAATAATAATTTTTAATAATAGAGGTGATAATTGAGTTTTCTAAGCTAGGAAAACTATGAAGTCTTCCACAGCATATCATAGTCATGGCTTAACGTCACAGCAACAATAGCTCTGAGAGACAATGTCATTAAAATCCTTGGTATGAAGAGAATCTCAATTACAGTTATAATTGCAATTACTAGGTCAATTACAATTAAAGTGCATAATTGTAATTGCACTTGTGTTACAATTGTTGTAATTGTGTATATGTACCTGTCATTGAAGCAATGGTGTTAGTGCATGAGCACAATTGTATAGCTTTTAGCTTCTGAATTTGATAAACAAGAGAGGTGATACATGCATAAATCAGCATGCAGTGCACAATTAGTTGCTTATGTGATATCAAAAGTAGATATTATTTTTAGGAGTGTTTAACTGCCATTATGTACGCGTACAGTTTTTCAGGTCATTCCCATGTTCTTTATTTTACTTCTGTTAACTCTTTTACACCACAAAATGGAGTTTAAAAAATTGAATTTAATATTTATTATTAATAGTTATACAGTTATTAAAAATTAACCACCAGTCACGTGACCACATAAAATGGCGGCTTCAAGTAAGGACTTGGCGAATGACTTGGTCCCTGACGACTTCCCTGAACTTATGCTGGACGATCTTTATGATGAAAGCATCAAGATAACTACTTATGTCTGTAATAGGTGTGTTTATAACATGGAGGTACATTGCAAGATTGAGGCACTAATGAAAGAAAAAGGGTAGACAGAAAGAGAAGTGCATAGCAATAAATTGTAATGGTAATTCAAATTTATTAGAAAAGTAATGATTTTCAGTAAAGGTAATGGCTGTGATAATTTGTTTATTTGAGACATAGTGGCAATGGCATTCATGCATATGTATATGTACCTGTGCTTGACTCAATTAATTGAATCAGTGTCATGTGACAATTATCATTACAATTACCCAGGAATCCATTGACTTAAATACATGTACATTACATATCACTTACCATCATTATGCTTCAGCCAATGCAACACAGCATTAATGTTACTTTGTTGGACATATCCTAAATAATCAAATGTACATAGATTCAATAAAACACTATACTCACTCTCAGTACATGCACTGTACACAAGAGCACTATAGTTTGCATTGTGTCTTACTGTTACAATTTCTTTAGCATTTTATTTGCATTCCTGTTCCCACATTGCAGCAAGTGACAATGTCTGTAATATACCAATGTACTATAAAATATTAATAATAATAATAACAACGTTTGTATACATTAATGTATGTGTATGGTATTTTACTGTTGCTTACTGATACTAAAACTGTGTTAACACAAGAAGAGAATAGACATGTGAGAGACCTAGCAAAGGAACAAGAAAAAGCAAAATATATACATATGCGTACGTGTGTATGAAGAGGAGAGAAAGACTTTGGAGAGAAAAGAGACAAAAATTCACAAGGACACGTGTCAAGGAACACAAACATGAGAAGACAGAAATATGCAATGCCTATTAACAATACATACATGCATTGGGAAAGAGAAGAATTGTTTATTATAAACTAATATAACATTGCCAATAATGCTTCGAGTCAGGGTTCCTTAACAGATTTGGCATAGTGCTGATACAGGTTCTTGTTAATGGATTGTCAAATTGCTCAAAAATTGAGCCAAACACCCTGTAGTATATACAGGGACACTGATCAAATTTAATCAAAATGACAAAGAGAGAATTCTTCAATTTTTATTGTTTTCTGATGCACATACATGTAATTATGTTGCATAAAAAATTTGAGCCAATTCAGATAAAATTTAGATTTTATCAATTTTTAAATTTGCTCAAAAATTGAGTGAAACATTTTGTAGTATTATAGTACAAAGGAAAATTTGAGTCCAGTGCTTCCAAATTTGTCTATTACATGCATACATCTACAGCAACAGTCACCAAATTTCATCAAAAATACAAAGAGGGAATGTTATGAATTTAACAATGTTTTGTGATACAAATACATGTACTTATGTTGCGTAGAAACTTTGAGCTGATTCAATTGAAAATTAATTTTTAAATAAATTTTTAAAGTTATTGCAAATGTCATGTTTTGCGCTGTGGTGCTAGTTGGCTCACAAAGCTCATGCTGTTTAGCTTACTTAGCATACTTTGTGGAAAACCCTGTTTAGACTACATGATTCATAACTGTGGAACTTCAAGGACATACGTGTATTGTATATCAAGCCTGAGATAATTCATGTACAAGCAAAAAACTTCATCTTGTTTACAATTATAATTACTGCCATAGACAAGGTACTATGGGAATACAATTCTAATAACATTCCTATGCACTTCTGATAGACATGCAATACAAAAACTGAAACTACATGTGTGCATCACAACATTGTAAAAACAAACTTACATTATTCAATTTTTGCTACTCAATGAACATTAATTGGCAAGGCCTAGATATTATTCCCTGCTAAAAATTCACTTCACACAGTGTGTGGTTTTATGATGTTTTTTCTGTTATTATCCTTTTATTATTAATTAATTGATCATTTTTGTATAAAAGGAGACATTTTGTTAGACTTGAGAGCGGGAGCGAGCGAGTGAGAGTTAGAGTGAGTGAATGAGTGCATATTGTATTGTGGCCTTTTTGTCTCTCCATTTGCTGTTATTTCTGTATAATTGATTTGTTAAGAAAAGAGTTTGTTTTATTGAATGGTAAATATAACATATTTGACAGCCAGCAAAGAAGCGAGCTGCCTGAAGACTGACTGAATCCAGACTATAGCTGACATCAAACCAGAAGGGATCAGCGGTGTTCACTAAAAAGAAGACGCCGCGACAACTGGTCCACGAGAGCCGGATCTGAAGAGGAGTCGACCTAGGATACTGCTGCGTTTACACCGACGGTACTGAGCTAAATATATAGTCCAGGAGTTGCAGCC